CGCACGCACGCTCGCTCGCTCTGCCCCCCTCGCACGCACGCCAGGGCCATTTTTCCCAGAAGCCAGTTTACCACCAGCAGGAAACCCACATGAAACACACAAACTCGCACAAACCAGGTCCAGAAGGGTCTCCCCTTCTCACACTGTTTCTGGACTGGCTGCAGGTTTGACCGGCTGTCCTCTCCGCTGACCGCGCTGGCTCCTGGGCTGGGGGCCTCGGTGGACCCCTGCTCGAAAGAAGCCGTCCTGACCGCGCTGAAGGAGGGGCGCAAGAGAGAGGTGGAGGAGGAGGAGGGAAGGAGCTGCAGTGAGGGACAAGAGAGCAAGAGAAGGTGTGTGCGGTTTTCGTCCACACCCGTGACTGTCTGACAGGACTGCAGCTCTTCATGTTGCTGTTTCTCATTCTTTCATTCCATTGTTAACAGTCTCGGCCATTTTCTCCACCAGTAAACAGTTGTCTTCAAGTCGTGATGCCCTTGTGTGGAGTGCCCGGGAGGTGTTGTGTTTGGCGTTATTGTTGCCTGTCCTGCGCAGTAATGGCGCTCTGCCCTGTGTTTCAGGAGGCACGACAGCAGTGGGAGCGCCCACTCGGCTTTTGAACCACTGCTGGCCAACGGGGTTCCCTCCCAGCTGGTGCCCAAGTAAGCGTCTGCACTGTAGGCCCTCTCGCGCTGCCCGCCCGCCTTGCCGTGATCCGCCGGCCCCGGCTGGTCGCCGCCACGCGCCTGACTTCCTCTTTCCCTCCCTGTCCGTCCCCCCGCAGGCCGGGGACCCTGAAGCGCGGGGCGAACGCCTTGCTCACGGAGGAGACCCTCATGAAGAGATCTCGCACGTCCTCGGTCAGCTCCCTCAGCTCCGGCCTGGCCCCCAGCGGCGTGCTGGGCTCGGCCCGCAACCCCATCCTCAGCTCCTACAGCTCGTCGCGGGGCTGCCTGCAGGTGAGGCGCCCTGCCCGGCGCTTTCGGATGAGAGTTTCGAGTGCAGCGGAACCGCTCATGTAAAGAGTGGCTCCTATAGAGTCCAGAATACCACAAGCATCTGCAAGAAAGTAATACTGCCCACTAGTTTGTCTTGGGGGCTGCCGCTTTGTGTGTGTCTTTTATAAGAGAGGAGCTTCATAGAGCGCAAGGACTTGTTCCAGGCGTTCCCAATAATTATTTTGCTTGCAATTAATTTGAATGTCATTTTCATGTTACAGCAATACAAACCTTAGCAGTCCGCGCCCACGTAATTAACCGAATATCTTTGACTGCCAAACTTGGACAACTCATAGCAACTGAAATCAGCTGGACCCGAGTCCGGTTCCTTTGCTATCTTTACTTGTTTGGAAAGCTCGTCAACACGAGGAGCCGCTGGGGCTCCTGAGGGTCTTAAGCAGTAAAGATGTGCTTTTTCAGAGCAGCTTTTCTTGCTCCGGTACCCAGACATCGCTGGCTGAGCCCTGAGTCTCGTGACGTTTCAGCTGTGGCTGGGATTCTCCACTGCCTTGGCCGTGGACCTCATGAGGTCATAGAGGCCCTCAGGTCATGGGGTTTCACAAAAGGAGGAGGATCTCAGTGACTTGTGTGTGTATTTTCAGCAAAAGAAGACCCCAGCTCTCAGCCTATCCCCCTTGTCCAGCCCTGGCTCCTCACGCTCCCAGACCCCAGAGAGACCAACCAAAAAGCTCAGGTAATAAAAACCACTTTTTGACCATCTCATGCCTAGCTAAGGAGGGATCCAAAACCTAACCTGTAGGAGCTCAGGACACGTTATGTGCAACAGCGGCTTAATTTCTTAATCACTAATATTTGTCCGACACTTACTTGCGCAATCTGGGCTGTTTGTACTCTGTTCAAGGGTACAGCAGCAGCGTCTCAGCAGTGTTTGAATTCTCAACCTTAGTCTAGTCATTTGTCCAGGACCCTGAGCACAGCTCCATCTTTCTGCTGCTTTTGCTGACATTGAATGCAGCTCAAAGCAAACAAAGGCCCAAGAAATGGGTCTGTAGCTCTTTGATGAGGTGCTTGTGAGGCCTGTTTGTGGACAGCAGTTGACAACGACCTCACAGGTCTCTGTTCCACATCATTCGCTGAAGAGCTTGTGCTATGAAGGGTAGAGCTGAATGACCGAGCAGGTTTAGAATTGTGCTTTACTGTTAAAGGAGAGCTGCCTGTGTTTCATGCTGTCAGTTGAACGTTTGGTCTTGTGTGTGGCATTTCTGTCTTGCGCAGGGAAGAGGAGGCATTCTCGTCCACCTTCTTGTCCGCAGCCAAGTCGGATACGACCCCGAAGAGCCAGGCCAGAGAGACAGGTCAGCCCCATGTAGACACTGGCAGGTTTTCAGCACGTTCTCGCTGATAACCAGTTGTTTTCCGTATTTTTAAGATTCCAAAGGCAACTTGAAAGTTAATGGTGTGTTTGAAACGTATTGAAATTGTAGATACAGTTCTGACACTGCAGTGCTAAGCGTTCTGACGGTAGAATGAATCGAACTTGTGAGTCGCACAATGCAAGAACAGTCTGTACTTTGTGAGGCAGTGTGGACAGCCACAGAAAAGAAGCTGCAAGATGACAGTACGGGTCAGGTCAGCAGGACCAGGAGACCCAGAGCGTGCAGCAGAACAGACACGCTCACCCCCTGTTCCTGTGCCGTCTGCTGCAGAGAAACCCTCACCGGCGCCCACGGTGCCCGTGGCGCCCTCCTCACCGGCCTCGCGGGCCGCGGAAGGCAAGCGCAAGCGCAAGATCCAGCTGGTGTCCAGCCGCAGGGGAGACAGCATTACCCTGGTAAGGTGTCGCCAGCGCGCCCCAGCTGCATCTGTGTGGCACCGAACCCCTGAAGCAGAGATCGAAGAGCAGTGTAGACCTTTTCGGTGTTGTGCAGCTGTCCGGCGGAAGATAAAGTTAGTCTTCCCGGTTCCAGTGGTGGGCTGTAGAACTGTATCCAGCTAGTTGCAGCAGAGAGGTCAGTAAGCGTGACAAGTGTCACTGCTGCAAAGAAACTTTAATCTTTTTTCAACTCCCACCTCGTCGGATGTTTGGAAGAAAGCCTCACATGCCTGAAGATGCTCCATAGCCAAAATGCCGTTCTTGTCTTTCTACGTTTCAGTTTGCAATTAACCTCTTCTTGTTCCTTTACTTCTTGCACACTGATGCATCTTGATACGTTGCCCCAGTCGATTAACTGTACCTCTTTCTAGGTACTGATTTGACGGTTATGCTTTTTACACTGTGCACACTATAAAGTAACTGCGGCTTAGGTCTGCTGTGATTGAAATATGTTGAAACACTAAGCCCTCACACGAACACCGGTCACGTTGTCCGGCCTGTGTTCTTGGCAGCCGCCGCCCCCTGAGCTGGGATACTCGATCACTGTGAGCGACCTGGATTCGGAGAAGAAAGCAGCTCTTCACAGGATCAGAAAAGTCCTGGAGGAACCTGGTGAGTCTGGGACACTGGAGCTGATCCTCTTTCCATACATCACCGGCCCAGTCTTTACACACGTTCGCGTTTTACCGAAAATGCGCAAGAGACGATTTGCGATGTTGCTCGCTTTTTTTTTGGCCACTCAGTATGACACTGAATATTGAAGAATCATTAACTACTAGCTTGTCTGTACAACAAATTGACAAGCTGATCAATACTGCTCTGTTTTTGGCAGTTCATGAGCACATAAGGTTACAAACGTGACAAGGTAATCTAGCCCAATAAATCTCATCCAGTCGCATTTCTTCAACAGGATGGCTGGGTAGATTGTCCCATACTCCAACAACCTCTTCTGCAAAGAAATGCCTCCCGTTTTCATTTTCAAATGCACTTACTCACAGTTCTCAACTGTGTCTAGTTCATGATTTGCTGCTGGTTATGAAGTTCATTGACTTGTCTTATATTTGGGTATTTCAAGTACTTCAATCTAAAAGACTAAAAAGGTTCCTTTAAACTAAGAAGAGTAGGACATTTCTTTAAGCCTTCCTCTTCTCTGGAACAGTCCAGGGTGGCAATATTTTTTTTGTAACATTGCAGCTAAGACTATACTCAGTATTGTTAGACAAAATGTAGACATACTATTGTATTACACAAATGTAATATCATTCCTCTTGAAATTTAACACTTTTAACAATGCTTTCTAACTATGCCCGTTTTCAGCTTCCCCAAATTGTCTAAAAGACACACTTGTAAGTCTCTCACAGGTATTCTCTTTTAGTCCACTGTTCCCCACTTTGCATCTGTAGCTTATTTCTGTAAACTGCGTGTTACACTCTGTACTTGTCAACATTAAATACCTCCTGCCAGGTGTTTCTCTGCTCAAGCCTGTTTAAACTCCGGTCCTACATACCTGTGTATGCTCAGCCAACTACGACAAAAGAAAACTCAGATTACTTATGTGGAAAGCAAAAAAGTGAAGGCAGACGTCTCTACTAACCTGGCTAGTTAAAACTGTCAAGTAAGAGTGCGCTGATTGTCTCATTTCAGAGCCAGCCAAACCCACGCCAGCCCCTGCTGTACCCCTGTTCTCGCAGGCGGCAGTGTCTGCTTCCTCCCCCTTGGGCACTGCCAGCCTGTTGCTCTACACAAGCACCGCCGGCGCCCCAACACCCCCTTCAGTCAGCATCGCGGCTCCAGCCAGCAACCCAGGCATGGCCAGCATACCCCCCTCTTCCTCCTCCTCCAGTGGTGTCGCTCCAGCCTCCAGCACAGCTGCCAGCCCCCTGCTGGAGTCCCTGCGGAAGATGCAGAACAGCCCTGCACTGAGCACTGCCCCCAACACAGGTCAGCGCCCCCTGCTGTCGGGGTTCCACTTAGCGAATACAAGAGCAAGTGCAAAGCAGTGACGGGCGACTCGCTCTTCAGATTCTCAAAGAGCCGAGAATCCTTTCTTGCTGATTTTTCCCGTATTCTCTTTTTCCACAGGCTCTCCTGCAGCTGGTGCAGAGACGCCAAAGGCCCCCGTGGTGACGTTCAGCATGAGCAGCCCTCCAGTCCTGGCTTCTTCGATCCTAGGCGCTGCCCCGGTGAAGACGGAGCCTGGCCCCGCCCCGGCCCAGCTGCCCCAGCCTGCAGCCTCTGCCAGCCAGCCCTCGGCTACCCCGGCGGCGCCGCCCGCGGCGAGCTCCGGCAGCCAGACGGGCGCGCTGAGCTTCGGGCTGGCGAGTACGGCGCAGCCCATGGCGGCCCTCTCCTTCGCCACCACCACCACCACCTCCGCACCCAACGCCAAGCCCCTCCTTTCCGCCTTCAAGCCTGTTTTTGGGGCACCGGCACCAGCTGTCACCAGCAGCTCGGCGGCGACCACGTTCAAGCCGGTGTTCGGGGGCAGCACGGCGAGCAGTGCTTTCGGGCAGCCAGTCGGGACGACCGGCGGTGCAGCGACGACCTCCTCGGCGACCGCGGCGACCAGCGCAGCCTCCATTTTCACTGGGCTTTCCGCCAGCACGTCCGCCCCTGCGTCTGGCACCCAGACGCCGGCTAAGCCTGCTTTCGGGAGCTGGGGCGCAGGAGCCAGCGGCAGCACAGCCGCCCCGGCCAGCACCGCCGGCGGCGCGTTCCAGTTCGCCGCC